TCTGTCTCTCTCAAACCACACAGAATGGCATCTAACATATTTGGAGGAGGTGAAGAACCTCAGACCTTTCCAAAAAGGACAAACCCTCCAGGTGAGATGCAGCCTGTTCCTGAGGACATTATGGATGGCTTGGCTTTACCTTTTTTAGTAACCTGTCTTTAACCATATATTGGTTTAGTACAGGCCATTTATTGGTCCTCTTTGTGAGCTCATGTGGCGAACATAAACATTTTCCATCTACAAATGACTGGTGTTCATCAAGATGTTTTCTTTGGAATGTAGATTGTGTCTGTGTATTTTTGTGGGGCATTCAGGATGTTAAACCAACAGTTCTGCACTGGAAAAGTGGATAATGAAACTTGGTAAAATTGTCATTTGGACATTATGGCCAGCATCTTGTTAGTGAGTTATATGCATATAAGTGCAGCTTATGGGTACATAAGTCTCTTTTTTTGGATTGGGCACAGAAGACCATTTTGTTGCCTTTCTGCTTCATCAAGCAGAATCTCTCACTGTCTGACAGCTGTCAAAACCATGAGGGGCTGCCCTGCTTCTTACCAGAGGAAAGGGGAGGGAGAAGAGAGGTAAGGCAACTCATGCAAAGAAGAACTGGCTGCTCTGGGCTCCCAAGGGATGGAAATGGTGGGTGCATACATTTGAGAGCACACTCATCTCTCTCCCCACTGCACAAGCTGAAACCAACTGCTTCTTCAGGTTTTGAATTCCCTTCCCCTTCCCTCTCCTCTTCCTGGTTAGGGACAACAGCAGGGGCTTGTCACTGACAGGCAGTGGGAGGATATGGGGCTGTATGTTTGGGCTACATGCAGATAGAGATTCTTGGCCTGTTTCTGCAGCTTTATATTTAAGTGATAGCTATCTGCAGTACAGTATCAAGAAGAATTGATGGTGAGCATGGGACTGGATACTTTGCTGCTGCTGTTTTTGAGCATTGTATTATGTTGCAAATTGGAGATGTGCTTTTAATTGTTGAATTATTAACTTGTCAAAAGCCATCTAAAGACTCCTTAATGATAAGATAGTAAGATGGGATATAAATTATATTAAATAAATAGATTGTACAATTTTTAGATTTGCTGATTTTAAAATGATAGATTATGAAGTAGCATTGGTTACCAGAGGTCCCCAGCACTGAATTGCTGGTTTAATCTCAGCATTTAGGTATATTTAAATTTGAGGAGAGGGGAATGTAACATGCTTTCTGCACATTAAAACAAAATCCACAAAAGACCAATATCTTTATTAGGCAACCAAAAGTACACAAAATATATCGTGCAAGCTTTGGAGGCTCCACTGGCTTCTTCATCAGGCAAAAGATGTTTAAAAAATATAGGCGGAGAAGAAATTTGATGGTATTAGAGTCACAGGCCTACATTTTGTATGGAGAGAGATATTGTAGCACCTTTGAGACTAAATGAAAGAAAGAAGTAGGCAGCATGAGCTTTCGTAGACTTCAATCTACTTCCTCAGATGCATTGAGGCCTACATTTTGTAAGAGATGTTATTTCAGTTTTTGTTCAATTGGTTTGGCCAGAAGTTACTGTAGGCAGAAGCCATTTTGAAAGCTTGCATGCTGTGTTTTTTGAATTTGGTCAGTAAAGCTATCACTCTTTTGTGGGATTTGGATTATTTTCCTGTATGGCCAACATGGCTACCCCTCAATATGTCTCTCTGTATGTTGTTGTTGTTAACTTGACATCAAGTTGACTTTGACTTATGACAACACTATGAGAAACCTCTGAGAGTCCCAGTCATCAGCAACACTGATGAAGTCTTGTAAACTCATGACTGTAGCTTTCTTAATTGAATCATTCCACCTGGCTTCCTCTTTTCCTACTGCCTTTGTTGAGCGTTTATTTTTTTCAGTGATTCAAATCATCTCATGATATGTCAAAGCATGATAGCTTCAGTTTAGTCACCTCTTTGTACTGACATCACAATGTTTATCTACAATAATTGAAAGATTGAAATGGCCCCAGAAATAGTAGAGGTGGTTAATTTTCTCTTCCTCAGCTATCTCAGGTGTCACTACTGACATTTTTGCACATTAGTCCCCACTTCATTCCTGGTCTATTAGGCCAAAAGTCAGCATACACTGTAGAAGAAAACAGTAAATCTCAGTCACTGAGACTGACAACAAAAGTCACTGAAACTGTTGATATGAGACTCTTTGCTGGAGCTTCTCATGCCTTGGCAACTGAATGAAAATAGTCTTTCCTGGTAACTTCCTGTCTTGCAGGTGGAAAGGACAGTGGAATTTTTGAGGACCATAAACCTAATCCTTCACATCAGCTTGCAAATCCCCCCGGTGGAAAAACCAGCGATATATTTGGATCTGCACAGCCATCTTGCACTGTCAAAGCACACCCAAACAAGCCCAAGGTAAAAATGTTATACATCATTAAACAACTTCCTCTGCTTGGGTGAAAAATGGTTGGTGAAAAAGAGGTAGTTATACATATATCTGAATCAGTAGAGAATTTAGACCCTCCTATCCAGTCAGTGCAGGCCTGATGATGGACAGCCCAAGGTAGATAATTTTGATTGTACAGTACTTTCTGTCTGCTACAGTTCTTAGTGGGGGTGGGGATTTGCACATCTGTCTGTAAGAGAAATGTGCTCTAGGAGGTATTGTATATAGTCAGATCTCTGTCTCGGAGGAGCAAGGAGACAGGGAGTTGTGTTTTGCAGGTCAGCTTTGACTCTAGCAATTTTTTTATTTTTGGAAGGCTTGTATAGGAGCTTTTGTTTGGTTTTGGTCATGTGCTCTCCCTGAGTACACAGTCCAAGGTGGTGAGGCTTCTGCTGAGTCCCTGACATGCTTGTAGGAGGAGCTAAAAACTTCTAGCTCTATATGACTGCTGATTCGGTCTTTAGAGTTCAGTCTCTAAGGTCCAGTGGCATATGCCACAAGGTGCACCACACAGTCATATCAGCAAAAGTTATAGTCTGAAAGGTTAAAAGAATGTAGGGATGGAGGAACAGAAATCTGTTGTTGTCTGCCACAGTGTGTTTCCAGTGTTGGTCTTCTTGCCAGAAAACCTGACTGTCTACACTTGTAGCAGGTGCAAATTGGTCACTCCCTTGGAAGAGAAAGTCAGTGCACTGCAGCTATGTGTTGATGCATCAGAGTACAAAAGGATTTAATACAGGGGTAGGCAACCTTT